GCATTGAAAAATCAAAAGATACATCCATCTGCAGACATTAGAATGAGATATATTATGCACATTCAAAAACAAATTGCGGAAACTCGCAACGTGATGTACAGAACAGCATACTATCAACAATAGGGTAATGTAACATCCTATCATAAAAACATATAAGTTAATCGTGTGTTAATAACCGTATACGTTTCACAGGCGGTTCGGCTCCTGAAATAAAGAAAACTTGCTTAAGCGCTTTAAGCGTTTTCTACTATTATTAGAATTAACTTGTAGGTAACAGAAAAGAAATTCACCGGATGTGCCTAATGACATAGCATGAGTGGTGCTCGCATTAGTGTTCACACTACCTGCGCACGGCTTTCGCTCATTAGACATGTGGGCGACAATTTCCGTCACTAAACATCCATGATCCCTAGTCAACTCAGCCCAGGTGTCGGTCTAAAATTGCGGAGAGATGGGCAAAGACTGAGGAATTTACGCTCTTACGAATTCACAAATTACGCCTGCTCCGAAAAATTCACCAAATACTTAGAGATACGTCCACCAACCTGAATAACGCTGTTGATGTTCTGCGCAATGAATTTTACAGCTTCGTTTTTCAAGTCAGCCGAATTATACATATCAGCGTAGACGAGAAACTTACAGGCAGTGTCGACAATCAAACCACTTCGTAAAACCTAATATACAATCATTATGTTATAATACACATCAAGACTTTTGAACTAACATGATCTGCCATTTCCTTTAGTCCTGGTAGCTGAAATCTATCTGCAGCTGCTAGAAGTTCCAAACCCATTGACTGTATGTTTGGAGAACGACCAGAGTACATGTACATTAGTAACTCGTGCATAACCTATGATAAGACATTAGGAAATGAAAGTTGTCAGCCGAGAATGTGGGTCAGTTACCTCGTAATCTACATCCTCAAGAACCACCCGACTAGTCTTAGCTTCTTCTGTATGTGGCTCCAACATCGCAGCAAAAACTGGAGATCGAGCTGATAGTACTACCTAAAAGTATGGAAAATAAAAAGAACAAAAATATAGCGTGACTTTGTAGGACATAGCAATAAATTTGGAAAATCCATTTCCTTCCAGAGAACTTCCAATTCGAATATAAAAATGCGATCAAGAGCAGACACGCTTTGATCAGCGTAAAATCAGAAGGAAAATGATGACTGACCTTATGAACAGGAATTTCCTTGTCGCCGACGACAATTGTGAAATCAGAAAGCTTAGCATCTTTAAATATGGATTCGAGGTCTCTCGTCACCTGAAAAAGCACTTTCTTGCATATATATATATATATATATATATATATATATATATATATATATATATATATATATAATATATAATATAT